AAGAAGGCGTGTCCACGTGTGTTTCGAAACATATGTAGAATATAATATAACGTAACAGTAAAGAAACTCAAATACGTAAGATGTTGACTTTAGAAACTTTCCTTGAAAGTATTTCCCAGTCACACACACTTTACAACCTTCAGTCCAATCCATTGGGAGTATTTTCCATTGGTACACATTCTACAACCACCTCTATTTCCAGTCTTATGCACTGTGCAGTCTCTTCAAATCCTGGTGAGTGTTTCCCTGTTATATCAAAGAGTATTAAAAGGAAAGAGAGCACAGTATGCTCATTGTGAACGTAAATATTTTGAAAACCAGCGATACACCCTTATGTATATGCTGCTTTGTGATGATGCCCGCTCCTTTGCGTTGTCACTTTCAGTTACTTAGAGTGACGGGGGGCGTGACATATTTACAAATGGGACTGTGCTCTCTTTCCTGTTTGTACTTTTTGGTGTTATGTATACTTATTTAACTTCATCCCAGCTTCTCCCAGTTTGATGCATTGTGCTTCCTCAACTCTCAGTCATTGCTTTCCAGTTATACACATGGCACAACCTTCTCCACTTCTGATCACCATTTCCCAGTTCTGCCCTCCACTTCTGATCAGTATTTCCAAGATTTACACACATCCTTTGTATTTGAAAGTCATACACACTGCATTTCTGCCACTCCGTAAGGAGTATTCACAGTTTCTTTGCAACCGCCTCCCTCTTTGAATTTAGACATCACGTTTCATAAATACTTATTTTTCAGTGCGGCTACCAAAGCGTTGATGATGAGCAATGACCGTTTGACAAATGCAGCTAATGGCAGTGTCCGATCCTATGTGAGCGTGCCAAGACTTGCGAAAAGCCAATCAGGCGAATTAAGACACAGTCGTCCTAATTCTACAGGAGGTAATATACTGTAAATCTATTTTGTACTCTGCTTGTCATATTTATACATTATAGTAATACACACACATACACACACCCTTTGTAGTGTGTGTGTGTATGTATATATATACACATCTAGATGTGTATAAGAGACAGATCTAGACCCACATTGATAGTTGACTGCAGACCTTTTCCCCAGCACCTATTAAAGTGAAAACCAGTATCAGTGAACAAATTAAGAAAATTGACTTTTTCACATATTCATATTCTCCACATTATAAGCTGTAAAATGATGGGTCATTTATTGCCAAAGTTATGACTATATATTAAGTATTACGCCTTCTCTGTACTTAAGTACTGAAATGTGCCAATTACTCTGTTTAACATTTGGCAGCAGTATGCTGGTTTTGGAATGGCAAGCTTTGTATGTTTCTCATGCTATTGCTGCGAAGCAGCCAATTCATATTCTTGACAGCAATTTGACCTCTGAAAGGTCATTGTTTGTCAAAAAACAAGGGCCTAAGATGACTGAAAATCGGAGTTTCCTTCTTTCGTTCTGCCGGGTAAAATCAATTACTTTAGGTGACGTTTGTAGACTAACCTACACGTACCAACGTCCGCATGTCACGATGCTTGAGTATTACTATTCAGCATTTTTACTGTATTTCTAGGTTTCCTATTTCTACGTTTAATCGGCCCATGTCTCTGCCACAATATTTTGAGGCCAATATTATTTACGAACCCAGTTAAACTTATTTACTAGCCTATTTCAGCGTGCTAATTATTACATTTAGGCAACGCTTTTTGTAGACTGGCATACACGGTACCAACGCTCATTTTTACTATGTTTCTACGTCAGCTCGAGATGCTTGAGTATTACTATTCAGCGTTTTTACTATAACCATGGGCGGTATAAATATCAACTCAAGTTTTGGCACAGTATTTTGAGGCCTATAGTATTTACGAACCCAGTTAAACTTATTTATGTCAACGTGCTAATTATTACATTTTAAATTTTAAAACAATAATTAAAAATGTATTATACTAGGGGGCTGCGAAACTGTGGCCAAGTTGACTTGGTACCGAGTTGACTCGAATTCGATCATGCTTACGTTGTGTGGTGCGTTGGCAGTCAACTCGCCTCTACAAATTCGCCCCTAGAAAATTCGCCGCCTTGAAAACTCCCCATACTAAATCATCTCACCAAATAAAAAATCCTACTCTAGGCCTAGACTAGCTAGGATGGTATAGGCCTAGCCTTGAAGGGACAATGGTCCCAATGAAAAACAACATCGCTCCTTGATAGCTAACATTGTCTATTTAACATCACAATAATTCATTATTAGACCTATAG